TTGTGAAATAACCGTCACGTCGTCGCCCGGCGACTCGAGCGCCAGCGCCGAGCCCGCTGCTCCAAAACCTGCCGCCGATGACCGGAAGCGMAAAGGAAGAGCTCCCGATGACACTGAGTGCTACAGCGAGGTAAATCTTTAGTTAGCTCTGCCTCTAAGAATACGTTTGGTCCGTTGAACAGTTTATAATCTACTTACTTGAGAACCTCCGTTACATTCAATGAATTTTTTCATGGTAGACTCTAAATTATTACCAATCGCTAAGTTTATGGGCTAACTTTAACTCAATTTGAATGTTAAAATGTGAAAGTTAAAAGAAGGAAGAAATTTAAATCAAATCAAACGCGTTTGAAATGAGTTAAACTGTGGCGATTGAAAGCTCCCCTTCCCACTTCCATGGCAGCAGGTGATTGCTGAATGTATTGTTTTCGGTAAACAGAGAGAGAGAGAGAGAGTGAGAGAGGGAGAAATTGTTCTTTTGCAATGTTTGGTGATTTGATAATATATATATATATTTTCCCTTAGGATGTCGAGTACGAATCTCCTGATGCAAAGAAACAACTGCGGGGTTCAACGTCAACAAAAAGATCTCGTGCTGCAGAGGTTCACAACCTCTCGGAGAGGGTGCGTGATTGAATTTATTAGTACTATTGTATGCTTGTAACTAAGCAGTATTTCTTCTTTGGTGGTGTTGTTTTCCTCTTGGAGGTGAGCTGAAATGTTGCAAATTCTCTTGCAGAGACGTAGGGATCGGATAAATGAGAAGATGAAGGCTTTACAGGAACTCATACCTCGATGCAACAAGGTTCTTTTTTTTTCCCCCCTTCTATCTTTCTCCTTAGTGATCTTAGCTGCAATGAGATTTCGACTTTGAATGTTTCTCACTTTCTCATGACCAAACTTATGTTGGTTCCTTTACTGAATGTCAGACAGATAAAGCTTCGATGTTGGACGAGGCGATCGAGTACTTGAAGGCGCTTCAGTTACAAGTGCAGGTACTTCGAATTCCAATCAAGTTAATAATAGTCTAAATAGTTCCCACATAGAGGTGCAACCATGGTAGAAGGAAATGTATGAATCAGAGATACCTTTTATCTACACCAATTACTTTAACACACAAAAATGGTTGAACAAATTGTTAACCGAATAGTCAACATGAGCTTAGCTCAACGGTAATTGGTACCTATCTCTGACCAATAGGTCATGAGTTCGAATCCTCTCACCCCCACTTGTTATACTAACAAAAAAAAAAAAAATTGTTAACCGAATTGGGAATATAAAGAATTCTTAGTGGTTCAGCCTGCTGCACGTCGTCCTGTGACGATAAACATCTGGGGTGGTAGATTTTATTTCTGAATTCTGTGCATAAACATACAAGTAATGTATAAGCATTGTCATTGACCGTTTAGAGCTTGAACATGATAAGCTGATGCATCTTTGTAATGATCGACTGTGTTTATAAACCCAGATGATGTCGTCAATGGGGTGTGGGATGATGCCGGTGATGTTCCCAGGTATTCAGCAATACTTGCCGCCACCAATGGGGATGGGAATCGGGATGGGCATGGGCATGGGAATGGAAATGGGCATGAATAGACCTATGATGCCATTTCCTAATCTCCTGGGCGGTCCAAACTTGCCAATGCAAGCTGGAGCAGCAGCTCATTTGGGTCCAAGATTCCCTCTACCCGCCTTTGCAATGCCTCCTGTTCCCGGTAGCGATCCATCCCGAGTACAACCGACGAATCAAGCCAATCAGATGCTTAACTCAGTCGGAACACAACATACAATCCCACCTCCAGTCTCGGGTTTTTCTGATTCTTATCAGCAGTTTGTTAGCTCCAACCAAATGCAGTTTCCTGCGACACAGCGTCTACAGGTATCCTTTTTAGCCTGTTACCTTTCATCTTTGTATTAAAATTCAGCATTTTCCTAACACTGGTTGGCACCAAAATTTCAACCAAATGTCATCATCAACCTTGCAAATTTAAACCAACGAGTTTGTTAACCTTTGACAGAATCAGCAACCGATTCAGCCGGATACGAGCAGGCCATGTACTAACAGGGGTCCCGAAAACTTTGAAAATCACCAATCAGGTAGACTTATTTTTATATTTATTGGGAAGTTTGAAATATTCAAGCTCTCTGCTTGTAACATGATATTTTGCTTTTATAGATCTGCTAGTAGTTGCAACGTTCAAAATAAGTTACATTCGAATCGATATTCACGTGAATCACTTATTGTAGGTTAATATTTTGAATGTGTGGACACGAGAAGCACACTCCATGGGCAAGTTTTGATGCATATGACAACATTGAAAGCTTCGAACATGCGTGTCTGTTGCTTGCTAATACAATATATATCACAAATAACATGTAATGATCACATCCCCATAAATATAATATATTTATACGTCGTTTTAGTTTTTGATCTTATTATATCTTTCATGCAGTTCTCGTCCTTTTACTGACTCATTATTCTGTTAGATTGTGATAGAAAGAAAGTCGAGTTACAGATGGTCATGGGGAATCTGTTGCTTTTACACGAAACTAGTGTGTCGCATTGCATTGCATTGCGTTGGGGTCGGATCCGAGGTGAGGATGCTGATGGATCCAACTTGGTAACTTGGTGTGGTCGATTATTGTCGTCGTCATCTTCGGGTGGTATCGAAGTATTCGAAACGCTCCAACTCCAGAGCCATTACCATTTTGCTCCTGGACCATGATATATATTCTTCCCAAAGTTGTTGCTCAAGATTCTTTTCCCTTCATCATAATAAAACTTGTCTCATTCCCATCTCCACTTGCACTTGGAATATAAATTCTCAGTCCTTCTCAATAGATATTTACTTTTTTTTCTTCTCTGCTTTTTCCACTRAAATTGAGAGGGGAAGAAGAGCAACTCCACTGTAAAAATGAGAGGAGCTTTTACTTTCATTGAGAGATGAAAGTATGTCGTAGGGGCATTCTTGGTATTGTCAACTCTTTGTGTGTGTATGGAATCATTGAAGTGGCATTTCTCAAATGCAATAAAAATGGTGTAATTTTTATGTATTCCAATGCAACTTGAGGGAATAAAATATCTATTTTCATTTTAAACGTCGATGTTTTAGTCTCGAATTAACAAAAAATTGTGTTAAATATTAATTTCACTTAAAACAATAATAAATTTTAATTTATTTTATTGATTGATGGTAAATAAATTTTTTATTGTAATAACTTTTTTTTGATATTGAAAAATAATAAATAATTGAAATAAAATTAGATCAATAAAAATAGATTAATTATTTGAACAATTTTATTCTTCTAATAATTGTTAATAATGAATATTTTAACAATTTTATTGATATTGATTAATAATAACAAAGTAATATTAAATAGTTGATAAATGAAATATAAAGTTGTCATATTTTACAATAAAATCACATTAACTGAGAAAAGTTGGTATTAATTTGTTTATTACAAGAAAAATTATCGGTAATATAAATAAATAAATAAAGAGTAAAATTGTAAAACAATTAATAAAATTGTTATGGCTCCGTTAAATAGATGAGAGACAAAGGGTAAAAGTTGTAAAGTAATTATTGAAAATGGATGAAATTACCCATTTAAAGGGGGAGCGATTTCTAAGTTTTAGTTGGATCCCACTAATTGATTACATTCCTACAATTTACTAAAAAAATTTCATTCCTATTCATAGATTTCCATTCTCTTGAACTAAATCGAGCCTAAAAAAAAATTATTTTCAATAATTTCTTTGGTTATGGAGAGGTGGTTTTTTTCATTATTATTATTTTAAAATTATAATGTAAATATAGAGGGTAAAAATTTGAACATTCGGTCTCTGTAAAAATATTATGAGTTTTATTAATCGATGAGAGAGAAATGACAAAAGTAATAAAATAATGAATAATTACTGAAAAAATGAGACCGACGAAATAATGAATGATAATGAGATTGATTAGGTTGTAGGGGAGAATGAGATTACCCCTTTGAGCGAGAGTGATTCGTTTGAGGTGAGTTCTACCGATTGATTGGATTCCTACAAAATTTTCAGGCTAGTTTGGTGTAGGAAAGTTTGATATTATAAAACATGCTTTTGAATTTCAAAAGTGAAAAGCTAAACATGGATAATGTAGAAAAGTTAGATATTATATAATTAATTTCTAAAAAGAAAAAAACAAAGAAAAAAAATTGGTATCAGTATATGTTATGATGTTTTTGCTTTATTAGAAATTTGTACTTGTATGAAAGAATAAGTTCTGTTATTGGTCCCTTTTTTCTTCTTTTGTGTCATGGAGACGAATGGGATTAAAAAGGGCAGGCTAGCAAAAAAGTTCCTAGGGAACACCTAGTTGAATTGTGTGTATAAGAAAAAAATCCGAATGGGTGACTCTTAATTTTCACGGGTAATTACAAAAATGAACATCTTTAGAGACTCGTATTACAGAAGTATATAACTTTTTAAAAAAAATAAAAAAAAATGTTTATAGACAAACCCGTAAGAAGCTCGAGTAGATATTTTGAAAGTTCTGGAATCCAAATTAAAGGATGGTGAAAGTTTAGGGAATTTGAATATGATTTAAAATAGGCCATTATATTTTGAGATATTATTATCYAGTCTTTTAAGCTTCAATGATGAATGATGTTAATTAACTCGTACTTTCAATAACTTAAAAATGTTTTTTATTTTGTAAAGGATAGCGACTAAAATTGATATTATAAAAATTAAAAGAATAAATAGAAAAAAAGAGATTAGATCTCAGATGTACCAATTCGGAAATGAATAAAAAGTTGGGATACTTCGGTAAAACATTCTCATTTAGTATTTCTTGTTTCTCTTATTTGTTTATTGTTTCCTTTTTTCATTCAATAAAAACAAAATTGTGTTTGATAATTGATGAATCGTTTTTAAATAAAAATTAAATGAAACTAAATGTATTTTTATTTCTTATTCACTCCAATTTTAAATTTTAAAAAGTAAAGTTGTTACATGAAAATTAATTTATTAACTATGATATTCAAAGTTATTATATTAAATTTATTTTTGAATACTTACCGTCACAACACTATTCAATCAATCAAGATATTACTTACCTATCTAAAGGTTGGAGGTTCGAGAATCCCATCCATTGTTAACTTAAAAAAAAGAATTAATATATTGATGGGCTATCTAGAGACTATAAAAGGATTGAATTGTATAAAATTTATAATTTTGTCATGAAACAACCCCTGCCATCACCCAATTTACTAATATATCCTTTTATATTTCACGTCAATATTAATTAATTTTTAAATCTAAAATTGGTTACTTGCAAGGTTACATAAAAGGATTGAGTTGGTGTTCCGTGTACTGTCGGTACAAGATCGAAAAGAATGCACTGGATGGATGTCCGGGCATTGAGAAGGAAGGACGCTTTCAGAGACAAAAGGCCATGGGGAGACAAAGAAGTGGGGGTCTATGCTTTCCTTGAATGAATCAATAACAACTCATTAGTGGAATGAGGGATCAAGAGACAGATAGGGTGGGAAAGATGTGTATAAGAGACAGGTTCGAAATGGTGAATTGAGGTAGAGTAGACCGATGATGATCCTGTAGTCATTTGGCCGGCTATTGAAAGAAAAAGCTTGCATCTGCGTTGGCGATTTCTGATGTGAATTCGGTGGGTCGTCCCCCCTTCCTACGGGTTCCCCCACCGACCCAGTGACACACCAACCACGCCTCTTCAATGACAACTAATTTTAACAAATCCTTGAAATCTGCCATTAAAATTTGCCCAAATMACATGTCTAATAATAATAAAAAAGACCCCGAGCGAACGACGCCATGCAACCACCGAATGCACTGCATCTGAGAGAGCGAAAACTAAGTATTTGACAACTATTTATGTTTKTTGTTTTTCAATTTTTAGAAATATTCTCAAAATTGTATAGAAATTTTAAAAACAACGTAAACAACAAATCTCTTGTTTTGTTCCCATTTCCAATTTGTTCACAGCATAAATAAAAATATAATTTTATGATTATTTTATCCATAAATGTTGGGGCATGTAATTCTATTTTTTTTTATTAACAAAAAACAAGAAATAGACAAGAAATGAGAATGATACAAGATGGACACCAAACTTATTACTTATCTTGACTAGTTGAGTTAAGCTTATTTTATATAATAATATTTTCAAAAGAAAAAAAAGAGGAAAGAAATGATTTTCTTTAGATCAAAATTCCCATGAATAGTAAATTTGGTCGAACCTATTAGCAAAGTCCCTAATATAAATGGCATCGTCTTTTGCAATCCAAATGCAATTCTTCCACCCGCACCTGTCAAACAGTTGCGGGTTGGTCCAAAAGACCTTGAATGCGGAACTGATACCATTGTATTTTTTAAGGCGACACCAAAAAAGCGTGGACTGCAACAAATTTGTGTTGAAACTCCAGGTGAAGTTAGGCCCTTGGTGGTAGGCTATGGAGGCCAAGATCATCGTCCTGTGATTGGAAGTGAACGTACAATGGCTCGGTGACGTTTAAGCCATTGACGACAAACACGTGCCATCGAATGAAAGGAGGGAATATGCTTCCCTTGCTCTCGAACGATATCGATGAGGTTAAGGTTAACGATAGAAGAAGAACAAATAGATGAATTCTAAGAGAATCTGCCATTTTTCATTTTTTCTCCATTTCTCGTCATTATTGGGTTTTATTGTGAAGAACTGTTGATGTTTGTGAGAAATCTTCTTATTTATTGTCATAAATTCTGTGATCATCGAATGTTAAGCATGCATGCTATAATTAAGAGGAAAGAATAATTCTTTTATTTCTTAGATTTTGGTAAAAGGTTTGAATCAAAAGGATTATTAGAATCAATATATGGTATTATTCTTCAAATGAACGAGAGATTATATTTTATAATGATCTAAAAAAAAAAAATAAAAAATCAGTGTAAAATCATATTTTCTTAACCATATTAACCATCATGAGTGGCTTATTGGTCTAAAGAAGCTAGGGTAAATTGAAAGGAAATGAGCTTAGGCTCCATGATGGTCACCTACTTTTAGAAATAATTCCTATGTATTCCTTGACATCAAATATTGTAAGTTCAGATAGTAGATAGTAGCCGCGTGAGAATAACATTTAATGGTTTTAGAAAATTAGGAGGAACATATAAGACTTCATTTAATAGATAAATATGCATAGAAGGTTGATTTTTTCTTTTCGTGTCACTCTTTCCATGAGTATTGACGCTCATATTGATTGTCCACATACATGTAGGTATAAATTCCATCAGGTCGAGCAATCCATCGACAGATGCCATCCCCACACTTATTTCTTATAAACTTGTTGTCATCCCAAAACACTGTGAATGTAGCGTACGATTGGCTTCGCCATAGGTGACAAGTGAAGCGTGTCGTCCCAAAGAAATTTGATCTAAAATGCCATTGAAAATCTTGTCCAACCGAGAGGAACGTTTTCCCGAGGTCGTTATCTTTCGACCAGCAATGCACTCCGATGGTTTCGTTGTTGAAGTTGTTGATGACTCGCACGTAAAACTTATCTAAAACTGCCTCACTTACTTGTGTTAATTCAATACTCAGAAAAATGGTTATCACTAGGAAGAAAATGCAGCTCTTATGATGCCTCATAGCTTCTACCTCTTCCCCAAATGGTTTGAGAAAAGGCATAATTCTCTCTTCTTTAAATAGAGAACATAATGTGCATTTCATTGACTTTAAATAGTAATATTGTTTGTTTTTCTAATATAGAAAACAAACCATATTACTATTTGAAGTCAATGTGTTTTCCTTTTAACAGAGGGAGGAGAGATTATCAACCTATTTTGGCAACTAGAAATCATCAAATATATCATGTAAAACACAAAATATAAGTTTAAAAATTTATATAACTTTGATATTGTAATCTCTTTGGGAAAATTTAACAATGTATGTCTTAAATTGTTAACGTACATTTGCAAGAATGTAACAATCTATTTTTTATTAGGTATGAATTTTATTATACCATAATATCATTTTTTATGGCTAGAACGACTAAATTGTTACAAAATTTGAAGTATAGGGACTAAATCATTACATACTAAAGTTTGAAAACTAAATTATTACATATTAAAGTTCCAGAACTAAATCTTTACAAATTTTGAACTACAAAGATTTAGCATTAGCATGCGTTTTAAAATTTTGAAAAACATACTTTTGTTATATATTCTTCAACTTTTTTTATTATTTTTAAATCACCATTTTTGTAAAGGAAGATTTAAAATCATCCAACACATTTGAAAAGTTTTCAGTATTTTCTTGAACTGCATACGAGACAACTGCAATTCTATGCTTGAAACTCATCCTGATTATTCTTCATTAAGAGTCTTTGGTAATCTATGTTTCCCTTTTTACTTTATCTTCGCATCGAACCAAATTCGAGATTCGTGCTCACCCGCAATCTTTCTTGGTTATCATCCAGGAATGAAGGATATCGTTTTTGGCAGGTGGATACAAAAAATTAAGTATCATTCTAATGGCGTACTATTGAACGGTACAAATCCCATTAATTAGTTGCTAAGGGATATGTAATGATTTAATACTCTAGTTTAAAATTTGTAATGGTTTAGTCCTCAAATTTTAATATGCAGCGACTTAGTCCCTATATTTACAATTTAGTTGTTGCAGTAAAGAAAATAATTGTATGATATAATGAAGTTTCGTCAATATAAATAGTTTAAAGATTAAATGCATTTTTAACCTGCATGTACTCTCCTAACCCACGATAGAAATTGATACTTATGTTAACGAGAATTTTCACGATAGATGAGTAAATTATTACAAATTTTTGAAGTATATAGAACTAAATCTTACCTACTAAAAGTTAAAAAACTAAATGGTTACACATTTAAACTTCGACTAAATGATCAAATAAATCTTTTAACCTTCCTAAAAATGGCTTTGTTTTTAAAATTTAACAAAAAATTCAAAAATGTTATTTAAAAATATGATAAACCTAAGAAAATATTTGTGAGAAGCAAACATGATTCAGAAAAAAAAAAAAAACAGATTCGTTATTATACGGAGGCTTAGAAAACAAATTAGAAAATTTGGTAACTAGAAATCATCAAATAAGTCAGGTAAAAAATATATAAATTCCACATAAAGTAAAAAATTAATGTCTTCATTAGTAAATTAGAAAAACAAACCATATTACTATTTAAAGTTAATGTGTTTCCCTCTTTGAAATCCCCAAATAGAAACAAAATAGCCAGTAAATAAAGACAGCATGATTTTCTTCTATTTTTAAGCCAATTTGCTTCACTGAAATAATGTCAAATGCCCATTATATTATTATGTCATCTCTACTTAAAAAACAAGATAGACTTAGCAATTTTTCCAAAGCATTTGGAGAAGAGGCAGCAGCCATGAGGCTTCATAAGAGCTGCATTCTTTGGCTAGTGATAGCCATTTTTATGAGTAGTGAATCAACACAGGTAAGTGAGGCAATTCTCGATAAGTTTTACGTGCAAATCATCAACGACTTTGACAACGAAACCATCGGGGCACATTGTAGGTCGAAAGACGATGACCTAGGGAATCAATTTCTCTCGGTTGGACGAGATTTTCGATGGCATTTTCGATCAAATATATTTGGGACGACACTGTTCTATTGTCACCTATGGCGGACCCAAGGGCACATTACATTCTTAGTGTTTTGGGATGACAACATGTTTATAAGAACTAAGTGTGGAGATGGCATTTGTCGATGGACAGCCCGACCAGATGGAATTTATAGCTATAATGTTAAGGACAATCAATATGTTCGACAGTACAAATGGAAACAGTGAATCAAAAAAGAAACCCAACGTTGTATGCATGCATATCTATTCAATAAAACTTTCTTTTCATCCTAATTATGTAAATCCAAAAAAAATATTTTTATCTAGCTTCAATGATATGGCTAATATTATAATCGATACTTAAATAATCGATATCTCCTTTGTGGGTCGTAGTTTTTCTCAGTTTCGAGTACATTGTGTTTTCTATTTTTTTTTCATCAATCAGAATGTTTGAAACACTAATTCTCTATTCGGTGTTAGGAAAGTTAAAGAAATGATTTAAATTCCATGATTTGAAATAGGAGAAATGATTTTAATTTCTTTATTTTGTTCATTATCATACATAAAGATTCAAGTTCATGCTCGATATTGTATATATCCTTCCAGAATTACATGTATAATTATTTTCTATTGTTCTAACATACTCATTAAAATGTTCAACATCGATTTTTGGGTGGCAATTTGTGTTTAATTCGTTCATTAGAATTATGTTCGAATGTCAATTTTTTTTTCAACAATTGCACGATAGAGTATAGAACGATCAATTCTTAAAATGGTAATATAGGTAATTTAGCCATTAAACCATATTGGGATTGACTATAGCATGAGAAGAAAATTGTGGAGAGAAACAAATTCTCAATATTAATTGTGGTTGTTATATAAAGCAATTAGGAATAGACTAAAGACTTATTTCTGGAACAATAATGTTGGTTACAATGTCTAATTGTGTGGGGCTTTTTCTTCAATGTTGCCATTTGTATTGCAATTGATACACATCTTGCCTAACATTGAAACTAGAAATTCCCTGAGCTTCTGCTTTCCATCTGCAATGTCCATCTCGACATATATCATTCTCAAACCCGTCGTCGTGCCAATACGTGCCAATACGCTAGGTACGTAATGTGCCCTTCGATCCACCATAGATGACAATAGAACAACGTCGTCCCGAACAAATTTGTTTTAAAATTCCAATGGAACTCGCCCCCGACCGGGATGAACTGGTTGCCTAGATCATCGTCTTTCGACCTGCAATGAGCTCCGATGGTTGCGTTGTTGAAGCCATTGATAATGTGGACGTAAAACTTGTCAAACAATGCATCACTCACTTGTAGTTCAGTGCTCAAAAAAAGGGACATTACGAGCAAGAGAATATAACTCTTGTGGATGCCCATAGCTTCTGATGGGTGAGTTTAATTTGTCTCATTGGTTCAACATATTTATAAGCTAATTTATTTTCTTTAAAAGGGAAAATGAAAATAGTCGAGGTGCTAATATCTTTTAATAAAAGGTATATAAATTACTAATTATTTTTTTTATAGAAAAGTTACGTATTTTCCTTGTTTATAAATGTATCTTTCCATTTATAGGTTTTCTAAAGAAAGCAAATTCATTAAAATGATTATAATATATGAGTTGTTTGGATAATTTGTTCATGAAAAATATTATATCCATGACATTATATTTTGCCTTTTATCAAATTGAATTATTTTGATTGTTTATCTTGATTTTTTTTATACATGGAATATTTAAAACAATAATTTCAAACAAACAAAATATGTAGTTCTTCCCTTCTTTTCGTCTAATATATCCAATAATTTCCAAATTTTTTATGTTTGGTTTAAATATTTTATCGGTGAAAATACTCATTACTCAAAATTTGGTGTTATGAATTCAAAATTTTATTTACTTTTGCAGAAGTCTTCTTCAATTTTATAAAAAATTAAGTCTAAGATATTCTAGATATAAATGGTTACGAATCAGTTAATGATAATTTTTAACTATCATTCAACATATATATATATACTAGTCTCTAAAAAGGGAAAACGTCTCAAATGTCATTTACGTCTTTCCGGTGTGGTTCACAATTTGAATTTCTTTACCATAAGAAAAAAATGTTTGGCAACATTATTACTTATAAAGTTTAGAAATGAAATTTTGATGTCCTTTGTTTTCTATCTTTAAACTACTAACATCGATAATGGAATTGACAACATATGGCTGAAATATTCTGACATTCAAGCAATCTCTAGTATCATATTTTGATATCCATGGTTATACAACTCAATTAGCAAACACCCGTTTGGTATCGTTTCCGTTTCTTTTTTTTAATAAAGAAAAATAGAATTGCATGATTTCTAACACCTATGAATTCAAGTATGATAAAATAATGTTTTTATTTATGTTTTGGAACAAATTGGAAATGGAACAGGAAACAAGAATCTTGTTTTTGTTGTTTCCAACATTTCTATACATTTTTGAGAATGTTGGAAAAAATGAAAAACAAAAACAGAAATAGTTGTCAAATAATTAAGTTTCTTAATAAAATTAGATACGAGAAACAATAACGAGAATGTTACCAAACTGTCCAAATAACTAAAAATTCTTATGTCAATTTGATAATTAATATATGATTTATTTGTATGAATATCTTCAACCTTTTCATATTGAAGTAAAACAAATTAAATGCAGTACTTTTTTGAATAAAAAATAAAGTGTGTATATTTTACGTACTTCTCGAATTTTAAAAGAGATCGATGAATAATTTTACAAATAAAATGTCATATTTACACTAAATAAAAATGAACTTCTTAGAGGTGGTTTTTGTAATATTTATGTTTGTTAATACTTATATATCTATTGTGTTCACATATTTATAAGAAATGTTCAAGTTGTACAAAATTTTGGAGGGAAAAAATGATGTCTTTTGTTTCTAGTGTAGATTGAAAAAGAAATGATATTATAGTTTTGGAAATTTATTTCTGAAGTAGACCTTTTAATTTATTTTTTTAATTCAAGATTTTGGAGAACAAAAAATAAACTAAAGGTAGTTATTAGATGCATTTCCATCCAAAAACACAATAATCAAATTAAAGAAATACTCAACAAAAATTACCCACACATTTTTATTCTCTTTATTAATTAAAGATAAAATACAAGAAACAAAATAACTAATGAGTACATGACCAAACAAAGCCTTATTCTGAGATGCATGCATACTTTTTATCCATCCATAATAAAATGAATTAAAATGAATTAAGTTTTACCGTTAGGAACTGGTCCACTTATGAACCAACTCTTCAACATTATCAGGAATGTTTTTCAAGTAAATTCCGTCATCTTTGGCCGTCCAAATGCAATTTCCCTTGGTTCTATCGGTGCACCTATAACGAAGCCACTGATTCTTCGACTCAGGCCAAAATGTATCAAACGAGGCATAGGCACTTGACTTTTGTAAGTTGCACCAAAATAAGGTTGTTCCCCACACATTCACTCGAAAGCTCCAATGGAAATCAGCTCCAGGAACCAAGCGTTGATAGCGCAAATCATTGTCTTTCGACTTGCAGTGCACAGCCAAGACATCATTGTTTAACTTATTAACAATGTGAACGTTCCATCTTCCTAACGGTAACCCTGATGCACCCACAAGAGCCACCATGACCAGCAACAAGACAACCACGTACCTATTTGTTGGATATTTTGGACCCATTTTCTTAACAAAACTTGTCTCTCTGTCTTTGTTGCAATTCATGTTGTACATGAATAAATACATATACACACTTTGCCCAAGCAAGAAAAGGAATCGTATAATGTAAAGAGATTATGAAAGTTAAATTAACTTACCTAAAATTGTATAATGCAAGAGATTTTTTTTTCTTTTCATTTGGTAAATGATGAGATTGCAATATTAAGCCAGGAATTTGTTAACCTTTCAAGAAATTAATTCATCGAATAGAATATTTGATTCACATCATGGTTACCTGTTGGATAAACCTACAACTAAGACTACAAATATAAAAGCATTCATTTTCTTTTTTGGGCTATAGCAGATTTTATAGCCCAAAAAAGACTCGGAATACCCAATGTACAATGTGAAGTTTCAACTCATTCCATACCTCAAGGAAAAACCAAATTGAAACACTCAATGTAGCTGGATCCTTGAAAATTAGAGGATGTGGTGCATGGGTGCTATTCGTCTCATTGATGGGGAATGATTTGAGTATGCGCTTCGATTCCGTTTTCATGATTCTAATAACAAAGTTGAATATGAAACTCTACTAGTAGGATTGAGAATGACGAAATATATTGGACATCACCAATCTTCTTATTCCTAGTGATTCACAATTGATTGTGAACCAAAATGCGAAAGAGCTACGAACGGAAAATTACTAAGTAAAGGTCAAAGACCTATTTGTCATAGTTTTCCAATTCAAAATCAGACAAATCCAATGTTTTTAGAATGTTAAGAACGAATTCCTTGGTTCGATTTGCTGGAGCCTACGAGACAGATTTGAGAAGAACTATAAGTTAAAATCCTTACCGAGCTGACCATAAAAGTACAAGATGTGATAGAGGTCGATGGATCAGAATAGTTCGAGCATAATTGGATGAATCCACTAGTCATGTATTTGAAGGATGGAACTCTACCACTAGAGAAAATGCAAGCCCGACAACTCAAACGGCGAGGTAGCTCGGTACATACACTTAAGGATGGAAACCCATACAAGATAAGGTACTCTTGCCACTCTTAAAGTGGGTCGCTCTTGATGAAGCTAACTATGTCATGATAGTGATACATGAACGAGTATGCAATAATAACTTTGAAGCACGGTCCTTAAGTCACAAAATTATTTGCCAAGGGTATTATTGGCCAACCTCGTTAAACGATGTCATGCAGTTTACAAAGAGATGCGACAGATGTTAGTGATTTAGAGCAGTACCCAGACAACCACTTGAGCCACTAACGAACATAATGATCCTTGGTCTTTTGCTCAATGGGGATCAGARTGGACCTCATCGGTCCTCTTTGACAAGGGAAAGGCTAGACGAAGTCTGCAGTGGTTGTTGTAAATTACTCTCTATTAAATGAATCAAGTTGGGATGTTCACGGATTGGTTAAGCTCGATTTAAGAGTTGAATCAAAAGCAAACTGCATGTTTTATGTGAAAATAGAAACCGAATCGAACTGTTAGAGGAATCCAAACCTCACTTGATTGGTACGGTTTGATGGTTTCTTCCCCTTTTGCCCCTTCCTAGGGTTTTGATTTTGATTTCAATGGCTTTTTGAAATGTTGAGTTCCATCTTCAATGGTGGCCTCGTTTGCACCATTGATAATGATGCCTTAAAAGAGGCTTTATCTTCCTATGGCGAGATTGTGAAAGCGAAGATCGTTAACAACCATGATACTGGAAAGTCGAGAGATAGCGTTTTTCCAATTAATGCCATTGAATGTTGAAAGGAATTTTAGTCATTTCCTTTATTTATTTTATGTGTCTAATTCAATTACTTGTTTGTGTTTTCGAATTCGAATTTGAGCTCTAAATGTTTCCACGACTAGTTTATTTTTTTGGAAATATGGATGACATAGTACAATATGGAAAGTTTTACTATATCGGATTGTGCGAGAATTGTGATTTAATTGTATCTAGAGATTTGTGGTTTAATTAGAATTGTGTTAAATTCAATTTCCTTCCCACGTCAATTTTTTCTTATCTATTCATTGTGTAATCTTAAGTGGAACATAGAAATGTTGAATTAATTGTTCAAGAATTGTTTAAGGGGTAATATTTTGAGAGATTTTATTTATTTATTTATTTTAATCTTTTTTATGTAATTCGATAAGTACAAATTATGTGAGTTGTTTTTCTTTTGTGAGATTTTTATAAAGTCTTGGGAGAAGATGCATCTACCGTTAAAGGGAGTTTAAGCAGTGTTCTACAACATACATGGGAGCTTGTATTTGAAAAGATTTAGTCTAAGGAGAAGTCGATCAAGTAGTATCGCGACAGATTTAAGAAGGAGTTCTTTTACGTATAAGTTAATATTGATTGTAAATTGTACTAATTTTTTATTGTTAATCTTATTCTTTAGGTGTGGTCTGGTGGGGTAGGTTGAGAAATGGAACCACGTTAAAAACGTCTTTGTATCGTCTCTTTACTATATTGTCTTTTAATTATCGTTACAATTACATGCATTTAATTGTTTTATTTTCTAATATAAAAAATATTGAGATTTTGTGAATAAAATAATATTTTAACATGCTAATTAGATCTTTCAAATGTAATTTTTCTTTTACCGGCCGTTATTAAATGCATTTCCGTAAAAAAAAATAAAAATAAAAGCAAGAATCCATAGATATTATACAACACTCATATTTATTCTCTTTGTTAATTAAAGACAAAATACAAGAGACAAAGAAACTAAGGAAAGGAAAATAAGGGAAATGCTAACATGACCAAATAGAGCCTTATTTAGAAAAACAACTAGGACATGCATGCATATTTTTCATGAGTTGATGACAAAATGAATTAAGTTTCACTATTTCAAACTGATCCACTTATGAATCAACTCTTCAGAATTAGTCGGAATATTTCTCAAGTAAATTCCATCATCTTTAGCCGTCCAAATGCAATGTCCTTCAGTTCCATTATGGCACCTATTACGAAGCCATGCATTCCTTGATTCAGGCCAAAATACTTCAAACGTGACATAGGCACCTGGCTTGTGTAAGTTACACCAAAACAAAGTTGTTCCCCAAAAGTTAACTTTAAAGCTCCATTGGAAGTCAGCTCCACGAACCAAGCGTTGATAGCCCAAATCATCGTCTTTCGACTTGCAGTGCACATCCAAGAAATTGTTGTTTAGATTATTAACCACGTGAACATGCCATCTTTGAGTCACCAACAACGACGGTGACCCCGACGGCTTCGTCTGAGCCCCCACAAGAGCTGCCGATACCAGCAACAAAACAGCCACAAACCTATTTGTTGGATATATTGGACCCATTTTCTTAACAAAACTTGTCTCTCTGTCTTTGTTGCAATTCATGTTGGACATGAATAAATATATATACACACTTTGCCCAAGCATGAAAAAGAAACGGTGCCGTTTTGCGGAACTTATCTAGATCGTATAATGCAAAAAGAATCATCGGTGTGGTTTTATGAAAATTAAATTAACTTACCTAAATTGTATAATGCAAGAGATTATTTTTAGGAATTTGTTAACCTTTCAAGAACTTGGTTCATTGAATAGAATATTTTATTGACATCATGGTTACCTGTTGATTAACCTAAAAATAGAAAATCATACTTATGATAATTATGCAAACAAAATATTAATATATTCAAATACAAAAGTCGAAAATTATTAAGCGACTATAAATGATTGTTCACATGATGATAAGATGCAAAATAGATTCATATTTCATATATTTATTTTGTATTTAAAATAAATTATGTTTAAATATTTGAATTTAATATTAATTTTGTGATTAGATAAACGTATTGAAAACGAGATGTACTATCCTTAACATGTCTCATCAATGATGTCTCTATTAGCCAAATCGAGCATAGCTCAAATGGGTAAGACACTTATTTCTGACCAAGAGTTCATGAGTTCGAACATCGCGGCCGGTGCCGAGGTGGTCTCGACATCGAGGTGGGTCGGCTTTCAAATTGGGTTGGCCCCCATTCGTCGATGATCTCGGGCTTACTATTGTTTCATGGTCCAATCTCTCGTCTCATCTGGATCGTTTTCCTTCCATATAACAAGGATTTTACAACGGTTTATAATAGACATGGACTACTTCTCTCATTGCCAATTGGTTTTGAGATAGAACCCCATGAATATTGATAGAGTCACGATCTTGATAGGACATGTTAAGGATTCCACGTTGAAAAGAAAATGGACCATATTGATAATTATCTCCTTAAATTTTTAAAGACTTTTCTTAGTGTATTATTGAGATTATATGATTGGATTTTATTTCACCTTTATTCTCTTTAGTATTTTAGGTATACATTAATCGTTTAGGAAAAGTATTGTCTAGAATCATTTTTAATTCCTTTAGTTTTAGGATTTTATTTGATGCTTGCTTTTCTTATTTCTTTCTTTTTTTTTTTTTTTGATAGCCTTAGCCTATTAATAGCCCCTTTAGTCTTTGGAAGACACAATTTTGCTATGAATGAAAATTGAGAGAATTTATGTTCATTGCGGAGTGCAAAATCCCCCTAGTCATCTATTCGTTGTGTGTAGCTTATGATGTAGAAGAATTTAAGTCTAGTTTTGTCATTAAACTCATGAAGTGTTTATACCTTGAGTATATGAGTACATTGAAATAGTATACTTACTCTTGGTACTTGACCATCTAAGGCAATCCGTCTTACATACGGTTCTTTTTGAGTTGAACTAACTATACAATTGGGTTCTAGTGGTTACAATTGACTTGTCGATCATATGCTAAAGTTGTCGTGTATCACTAGTGATTGTCTTCTAATAATTTGGCGACGACTCAAAACCTCTTATTTTAAAATAGAGCCTTGAGAAAGGGTGCCAATTGCTCCACATTGCAATAGCATTGTTACAATTAACTATTGTACCGATAGAAATTAACRGGATGGCTGTGAAACTTATATGTCAAATGGATTATTCATAATAAAACAAGAAATGGTTAGGGTTTTACAATTGTGAATTAAAGTTGTAAATCACAATAACATGAAACATATATGAGCTAGTTTAGCGATAGTTTTGAAAACAGCATTAATGGAAACTTATTTAGAATCTAAAATAAAATAAAGTTACGTAAGCCCCGTTGGGGAAACTATTTCATACGCGATCTCAAAATTTTGTTGTAAATAAAGCATTTCGATGCGGAAGGGGGAAAATGGTTGAATTTCACTATTATAAATACGAAAAGTAAAATGTACCATGTATTACAAAAGCGGGATAAGAATTCAAACCTTCTTCCTATAAAAATAGTGGTTTTATTTAACGTGTTAGAATTAGTATTAAGTAATATTAAGGATCCCTATACTGTCAAATAATTTTGAGACGTAGCCATTTGACATCGATTTCAAAAAAAAAAAAATGTTCCAACTTAAGAAATTAATCATTAGATACCATGCATGCATGGTACACCAAGTAGAATTTATGGAAATTTCATTTCCAATTTGGCAACTTTGAAAAATTGGGCTACTTTACAACCAATATATGCATGAAATATAATATAATCCAAAAAATTGACAGATGAATTTTACCATCTTGCATTTTCATTACTTTTACTGTTAAAAGTATTTAAAATAATAAAGAATTTTAAAATCTCTAACACGATTCTGTTGACCCTTTCCAATAGCGCTGTACCAGAATATTTTAATTTGATCCAAGAATGACTAAGTTTATCATAATATATAATATCCATATGTGCATACCTACTTTAGTTAATTTTTGTATTTGTATGTGTTAGGATAATGGAACCAAAAGCACGTCTGCAGAGCCAATCTAAAAAGACAGTGTTGATATATTTCTTATAGCGTTGAGACGCTGTAAAAAGACGGAGAGAAAATGTAATACATGTTAGGGGTTGAGAGCTAGTGATAGCGTCTCAATGCTGTTGCAAATCTACGAGAGGCTGATGCTATACAACATATTGTTGAGATGTAAGAGACATCGTCCTAGTGCTACCGTGATTATTCTTAATCCAATACTTTATATAACTAAGTGTAATCGGTAATCAAATCTGTACTAGGAATTTAACTTACATTAAGTCACCTTATTTTTTTTAGCATATTTCTCATATATCAAAGTTAAGATATTAGTATGAATACAATTATAAAGATCCCATTTTTATCATTATTTACAATCTAGGTAGTCTACCATGTAACTATTATGTGAAACTGAATATATCTCAATTGGTTAAAGTAYTTATTGTCATCCAAAAGTTCGTGAGTTCAAATTTCTATCCGTGTTGTACTTAAAAGAAAAAATATTTGTTGTCAATGAAACATTATGTAAAAGCATTTTAAGCCCAACTAAAGAGAGTTATTAATCATCAGATGAAAATGCATGCATTGCCAACAAAATAGTATTTATGGAATGTCAATTTCCAATTTGGCAACTTTGCCAAACTTGGCTACTTTACAACCAATATATGCATGAAATATAATATAATTCAACAAATTAATAGATGAATTTTACCATCATGCTTTTGCACTACTTTTGCTGTTAAAAAGTATTTAAATAAGTGACCAAAATATCTCAACCAATCAAACTCTAGTATTCATGCACCGACGAGTTCCATTGCTAGTTCCAACAGTTAACTAGAGTTAATTTAACACAAAAAAGTGTGTAATTTGTCTTTAAAAAAATCGGCCTATAAATTTGTTCTTGAAGTCACCTACGAATCTCATGCTATCTTTGCTTCCAAATATTGAACACAAAAATTAGAAACAAATCGACAAAATCACTTCATTTCTAAATGGGTGGTATCAAAAAGCCTCTAGGCTTCGTGATTGTGGTGGCTCTGGTCCTTCTTGGTTGTTCCACAGTAGCTCTTGCGACGTGGCCAATGCCAACATGGACTGTGGACATTGTCAATGAGCTAAGCAATGGACAAGAACTATTCGTGCATTGCAAGTCCAAGGACGATGATTTGGGAGAACACAACCTCGACAGTGGAGCTCAATATGGGTTTACTTTCAAAGACAATGTTTGGCAAACAACATTGTTTTGGTGTTACTTGCGAAAGCCCGACAATAGTCATGCCGCTTTTGATGTTTATTGGTATGATATTAGCAAAGGTCATTGGCTTTATACAAGATGCGACTATAAAAATTGTATTTGGATTGCTAAAGCCGACGGGATTTACATAAAAAATATCCCTTCAAATCAAGACGAGCTTGTTCACCCGTGGGAAAATTAAAAGATTGCAACATGCATCTTTTGTCATAAGTATTGTTTCTTTCCTTTAAATCATGTTTCGGATGTAGGGGAGTACGTGTTTGTGGTCTCATTGAGTTAACAAGTAAGCGTATATTTGCTAGACAAGTTTTTTCTTCGAGTCATGATACTTTATGTCATTATAAAACGAAGAATATGGCCTACAATTTAACTTTAACGGTTGTGTGTACTTRGCCTCTAACTCATTCAAATAAGTCCTCAAACTTTCAATTTGTTGTTTCATAGATCCCTACGACGGTTTTAACTTCTACATTTGCTAACATTTATGCCATCAAATAATGTGGAACCTGAACATTTACTTGGCTCAAAATCCAAGTATATAAAACACTACTCTGCCTATCGTTTAAACTTATAATTGATAGAGTTAATGATAAGATGTTATTAAACCTAAAGGAATCTAATTTTAAATATTTTAAATAATAGGATCTAAATAGACATAGTTGATCGAAAAGTACAACGATTTAAGTAGTGACTGTAATTGAGTTTGTAAGAGTACAAACAAAGTCTCACAATGATTCAGAAAATGAGTGATCCATGGTATATAAGAGATGACAACTATCTCCATTGTTACGAGACCTTTTGGGTGAAACCAAAAGCAAATTAAGTTTCATAGGAGTCCATCGCTATTATTTTTCTTCCACCGAGAGAGTTCATTCCAAATAACAAGACTTTTTTTTAATTTGTCAGGGTAATGGAATAAAACAAAGAGGGTCACTCCTTTTAGGAACATGGCTCGTTCATTCACTTGCTCATGAACTCGCAGCTTCGCCAGAAGCGACTAGTCGCCTCCGCCGAAAGATGCTTAGCCAGAAGCGACGAATTGGGGAAATTATCGTAGAAACTGTGATAGAGTTGATCACAATATATGGTATCCATATGTGCATACCTTGGTACGGAAATTTAAAATGACTCGTTGGGTACTTTTAGGTAACTAGTGTATTACCACGTGCAATGCACGTGCAATACATAAACATTTTTTTATGTATTGACTTCTATGATTGTTTTTTTTTCAACAATAAGAACATGAGCTTGTAATTATCTATATTTTAAATAAATATTCTAAATAAAATTGCTCAAAAAAAAACATTCCAAATAAAAAAAGTACACTGAACAATAAAAAAACATTAGTAACAAAAAGAAAAATCCAAATCCTAAACTAAATAAAATTGCTAAAAAAAAGAAATATTCCAAATAAAAAACACACTAATTAGAAAAATAACAATAGTAACAAAAAAAAATCCAAATACTTACTATACACTCATCTTTTAGAGTAAATATGTTCATTCTTGAAGATTGCTTGACATATACTATTATTCAACTTTGTAAAATTGTGGAATGGTAATATCACAAATCTAGTATTCGAGATATGTACATTCAACATATGCCTCCCTTGCAACTTGATGAATATGTCACAAATATCTTGAGATGTTTTCATGATTGAATCATCTTTGAGAGATGTTTGAAGTAACTAAGAATAAAAAAGTATTGAAACTTGTGAAAAACATGTAGAAGAAAGCCTATTTTTTTAGTAGTAGAGGATAAAACGTTACAAAAGCCTTTCAAATTCTAAAACTCTTGAAATTCTAGTATGAATTTTAATTAAAGAAAAAATTAATTTTATGTTGTTTGAAAACTTTTTGCATTCTAACCTTTTATATTCCATGCATTTATAGTATGGATAATTAATAATTAATAATTAATTTAATATTTGTAATAATATTTAGTAAAGGGCAAACGTGTCCAAAAATGTTTTTCCTACATCCTACATTTTTAATATAGTATAGATTGGCCGCGATTCAAAATCTTTTATTTTTAAAACTCTTAAAATTAAATGTCATTCCGCGTCTCATTAAATATTAAAAGAAACAAATGACGGTATATGAATTTAAAACTCAGTCATTTTTATGAGTTTGACAATTATTGGTGTACCTTTTTATCAAGTTACTACGTACTCAATCACATAGAACGATTACATTTTATATTTTATGGTGAGTACTATATTTATTTCATCAGAAGTCCTTTTTAACTCAAGTAATAAAATATATCTGTACATCATCATTTTGTGAATTAATTTTAATGTTTAATAATAATGAATTAATTGAAAAATAATTCATTACATTAGAGATAGAAATTTAAGTCTTTAAAAAGATTAGAGGAAATTTTGAAAAAATACCCCTAGATTAGGGACCAAAACATGTACTTAGCCCTGAATTTTGATTATTATGTTGAAACTTGAATCTGATTTTACAGAATCGGGCTTTAAATGGCCAAAAGTAGGAGACTGGCCCAATAGCTTGTGATGGGCCGTCAATTGGTTTGGTATTAGTGGACTTAGGCCGTGGGATTCTTCAATCCGAGATAGCTAAGCCCATTCCCGCAAATCATGATATTAAATATAAATTTCAACCTTTCAATAGCTAGCAACAAGACTGGACCAACATATTACAAGCTTCAATGATATAAAATCAATTAGTTAAACTTATTAATTAATCAACTTTCGTCTGTTAACTTAAAGTTAATTATTTTAGAACCAGAAGCAATAATACACCTAATACATTTTTGTTAATTGCAGGTAACCATCATGGATTTGAGCTTATTCCCTCCCTGTAACTTATAGGGACCGCCCACACCACCAACAGAATTGAGGGTCCATGTTGTTCATTTTTACATAATATAAATTATCTAATCTAAACTCGAGAAAAAGAAATAGGAATAACAAAATTACTTTTCGTAGTTTCCAAAATTTAGCCCTTTTTTTTTTAAACATTTCTCAAAATTTATAAATAAGAAATGGGAAGGATTACCGAATATGTCTTGTTTCTCAAAAAATGATAAACAGAAACAAAAAATAGAAAACGGAAACGTTACTAAATATACTCTTATCTATTTATTGGATATATGAAGAATAATTTCATCTCGTGAGATTCCGTTCCCGAACTTCTTATTTGGTCAAGTCCCAGAATAATAGGCATATTTAATTGACTAAAAGTCATCTCACCCCTACAAATCAAATGGTACGTCATCTCGACCAGAAGATTATATTCCAATTTAGGATTAAGATCGAGCAACATTTGATCAATATGTGAAATAAAAGAAAAATTATTCAAGTTTAGATCGAAATCGACCGACTCAACTTAATAAAGTTTTAAAAAAGAGTCTGTTTCCATTTTGTCAGTTTCAACATCGACTTTAGTAAAAAAAAAAAAANAATACCTAGGAGTCGGTCAAGCCGTCAAGTCACCCAAACTATCCCCTGAAGATTTAGTCTTAGGTTTTTTGAACAATCAAGATGATTATTGAGAACTTTTTAGGCCACGTATGTACTTTTTAAGCTACTTCTGAGTGGGAGTCGGCATGCTATCTAAGTTCACCTTTAAGTACGTCCTAGGTTTCTTGGTCGCTAAAATAATGTGTTACATTGATGATTATGAAACATGTTTATGTTTATTTTTTTAATAAAAAAGAGAAGAACGATAAACCATACCAAACACAATTATGTTTTCGATTTACTGAAAACGAGGGAAAAAAATAAGAAACATAAAGGAGGAACAAAGAAAAAAAAATGAACATCAAATGGATTGTACTAAATCACTTATTATTCCATTTTTTCTTATTTTTCCTTTCTAAACATTGAGTGCCAACTAAATTTCCTAATCTCTCTTATTTCTCATTCATCCACGGATTCTGTAAACATTTCTTAAAATTGCGTAGAAATAAATTTTTTTTTCTTATTATTCATTTCCAATTTTGGAGAAATTGTTAATGAAATTTTACAAGCAACCCATCAATTAAAATAACATGATGCCGAATGAAATTTTATGTTTCCAACAAAACTATATTAATAAAAATAGAGAGCTAATGGTAGAAAACCTTAATAAAAGATAAATAGCATATTTTTAGAATTTAGAGTTCACAAATAACATTTGTAGCACATAAAAAAGTTTGATTTCTCAACCATGGAGAGGTCGAAAATACAAATTTCTGTTAACACAAGAGGGTATGTGAACGTATTTCTCATTGATTAGCTATATAATTATTGAACGGTACAAGACCTTGGGACAAATTTAGCTAATCAACCAATTTTTTTCCACTCATGAACAAGCTCATCAACGTTTGCAAGATTGTTTTTCAAATAAATACCATCGTCTTTAGCAATCCAAATGCAATTTTTGTCAAAGCACCTAGAATTGAGCCAAGGTTCATGTTTCTCAACCCAATAGGATTCGAATGACACATTGAAATTTGGTWTCTCCAAATAGCACCAGAACAACGTTGTTCCCCAAAAATTTACCTTAAAAGTCCATTGGAATTCATCTCCCCGGTGGACCAAATTGTGGTTGCCTAAATCATCGTCCTTAGACTTACAATGCACGAAAAGGGTGTCGTTGCTCAGCCCGTTAACCACATGAATACGCCACCGTGGGAGTGGCAGTGGAACGAGCACCTCCGCAGTACATGGTTGAACCACTGCCAGAGCCGCCAAGAGAAGTAAAAGAGCCATTTTAGTTTTAACAAGTTCAAACATGTTTCTAGGTTGTGTTTCTCAAATTTGAAATTGCACTCCTAATAGTTTTATACATGTTGTTGAAGTGATTGACGGTGTCACTCTTGTGACGGTTTATAGCTTTTGTGAGTCTATCTTATTTAAAATTAGTTCATTAACATGCCAAATACGTAATAGCAGCAGTTTTATATGTAATATAAGGAAACGAAATAATATACTTTCCTTTCTTGCCAATATGATTTATTAATTTCATGAAACCGCATGCATGGGTTTGGAACCATATATGAAATTTGTTTTGATGTTAGATTATATTATGATTAGATAATGTTATTTGAATTATTATTACATTATGTTATTTGAGTTAGGATATAGTTTTAATTTAGATTATATTATTTGATTTATGAGTTGATAAATAAAGTTATTAGGTTTCTATCTGAATGCAATTGAATGAAAACCTATTGGTTATTTTCACTATTTTATTTTCATCCTCTAAAATAACATGTATCAGAGAAATCAAGTTAAATGACACTATGGAGGGAGATAAGAAAGAATTCAAAGCTGACGAGGAGGATGGTTCGGATCAGTTAGTTTGGATCATTTGGTATATGGAGGGCCTGGAGTGGTATGCCCAAGATCGTCCTTGGGTCGTCGGGCTCATGCCTGTCGGTCTGGATTGGTCAGCCGGCTCGGGCTAGTCGGCCTGGGTTAATCAAAATGTGTTGGTCCGCTTGAGGTGGTCAGGCCCGTGTTGGTCTGGGTGGCTTGATTTTGTCAGGTCCGAGGGGTATGCCAAAGATAGCCATCCTAGGGTTGTTGGGCTCGTGCTCATCGGCTCGAAAAGTCTCTTACGACTTTTTAGGACAGAAAAGAAGAGAACCCTCATGATAACTAGGTAAGTAGAGAAATCGATGAAACACCCAGGACACTTTTAGCATTGAGAATAATGGCTAATTTTAAGAGGTGATTCCACATCAATTACATTAATAAAAATCACCTATCGAGTGACGACCCTTAAAAAATCACTTTAAAATGATTTTCGATTTTCTGAAAATCAATTTTATCTCACGTCAAACATATCATTTTAATGGAAATTTGTTTTGACAATGAAAAAAATGATTTAGCCATGCCAAAATCATTCCAAACACGCCCTCTTCTACTTTGTTTTTTTGTTTATTTGCAAGAAAAAACAAAAACAAAAAAGAAACGTACACTATTGATATTTTACTTGAAAACGTCTTGCCTTGTATAGAATTGGAATCTTTCCATGTGGGCTTTGAAATCCATGCATGGCACATCATTATTTAAAACCCAACCAAGTGATTTTCGAAGTGCAATATCTCAAGCAATGGGGAGGAGATTTCTGAAGAAGCACTTTCTTGTTGTCTTGCTTTTCTTGTCATTGGCCATAGTTGAGCCAGATACTTCTATTGAACTGAAAAGATGGAACATCCATGTGGTGAATGGGTTGGGCAACGGCCGACTTCTCTTTGTGCACTGCAAATCAAGAGATGATGATCTAGGCGAACAGAACCTCTACGACGGAGCTGAATTCAGCTGGACTTTCAGGGTGAATGTTATAGACACGACCTTGTTTTGGTGTTTTTTGCGGAAGCCAGATGCGCAATCTGTGTCATTCGATGCCTTCTGGGTCGAGAAGACATCGATTTGGCTCTTTTATCGATGCTACGATGCTAACTGTATTTGGACTGCAAAAGACGATGGAGTGTACCTGAGAGATAATCCTGTTCAAAGAGACGTTTTGGTTCATAAATGGCAATAAAACTCGTCCAAGACAAAGGCATGATCTTGATTAATGAAGTCAGTTAGCTGCTTGTCCCATAGGCTTTTTTTCTTTTTCTTTTTTAAGGGCACCATCCATTTGTGTTGATCAATTAAGTTTAAGTTTGGGGTGTAACACTACTAGAATTTGGAGTTTTCGTGCTAGTGAACAGCAAAAAAAAAAAAAGGTTGAAAATTAAAAGAAAAAAACGTCACAAAAAGTATAAGAAAAAAATAGGTTTTTGGTAAGGGAAAAGCAGAGTTTTCCAAATTTGTTACATTTAGTGAGGTTTGATACCGTCACTAAAAGTTTGGAAAAAGAATTTTTCGTGAGATTGACATTTAAAAAACGTCATGAAAGGGTGAGGCGCGATTTGCCGAGATAAGAAGGAATTTTTGAATTTTTTAACTTTCCGTGATATTATTTTAACTATCACAAAAAGTTATAAGAAAACATGTTTTCCGTGTCACGAAAAGTTAAAAAATAAATTTTTGTAACATTTAAAAAACGACATGAAAAGGTGGTTTTTAGTGTGAAAAGACGAAATTTTTCGGATATTTTTGACTTTTCACGACGTTTAAAAATTTGGAAAACTACATTTTTGTAATGTTTAAAAAAAGTCACGAAAAGTTGCCATATATATATATCATCAGGAAAAGGTGGAGCAAGTTTTTTTGGCAACGATGAAGACTTGTGAGTTTGCTAATAATTTGTGACATCTTTTAATTGCCATATAATGGTGAACCGAATTTTATGCGGAGTATTTATTATTAATTTTACCTCATAGAAGGTTTTCTCCCCATACTCTATTATTTGAAGTCTTTGGGAATCGTGTAAAAAATTTGGTGTCATTTTATTACGCCCATTTGCCATTTGATAACGTTTATAATTCTTATTTCGTATTTTTCTTTTCCGAGTTATTTTTCATGACACATAGAAAGTAGTCGGGCAAAATATCTTTCCTGACTAAATTTAAATGATCGGGACTTTTTTCGACTGTTGAGCCAGGAAAACTTTCGAGTTATGAATCGAAAATAGAACTAGTGGACGATACTTGGATACAATTTTTCACAAAGCATTGAGAAGGGTATACTTCTCCCGACGTATATTTTATAAATGTTGGGAGATATGGATGTTCTTCAAATATTTTAATTAACAGTCGGGAGAGATCTCTTTTTCGGGACTAAACTGACGAGCAATACTTTTGATGTAGCTGATCCAAATTCTTGACTCATCTAATTAAAGATTGAATTTCACAATTTATAAGCTAAATAGTTTGGAGCCTCCATCATCACATTGTTGATGGACAGCCTTTGAACAAGCCATATTCCTTGAATATTAAGAACAACTAGTGTCTCGACGAAGAGAGGGCAATACAAAATAGGGTAAAAATCAGACATAGTACCCATTAAATTTTCCCATTTCATCCTAAATTACAACTCCAATGCCTGTGATTTTGATTTCAAGCCTTATAAGCTGTATCCATGTTTAATTTTGATCACGAACTTCCAGACAGAGGGAGCCAAGAGACCAGCGAAGCAATAGGTTTCAAGAATTTTTTCCAACGAGATGGTCACGACCGAGCGCATTGGAGAGAATCCGAGCTCACCAGCACCCAAGCCAAGTGTTCCTAAGGATCCCATACGATAGACAGTCAGCGGGAATGATGTTGACATACTGTACTCAAACAGCTGCAATACTGGACACTGCTGAGCCCTTCATCAGTGTGGCAAAGGAAAATAGAGGATGTTGGGTGTCCCATAGATCCCTGGTGCACCGTACTTATCCCCTGTGAATGCCCAAGGGAGTGGGGACCTCCCAACGCAAACCCTTTCCACCTCTTATATAAACAAAAAGGCAACTCTAAAAGAAGGTAAGATGCATTTCTCTACACAGCTACTTGTGAGAATTTGACACTCACTCTCAATGCGACTTTCACCTTCGAAATTCCTACACCATTTCTACTCCACACTGATCATTATTACCCCTACTTGAGATATAATTAATCATATTAGTGCATTTAGCTCACACAGATACAAATTTTTTGTGTGTGCAGGTAATAGGCAAGCAAAGACTAAGGCATATGTGGCACCCGAGTGGCACCTCCACAGACTTCAACCAAAAATGAACATCAACATCCTTGATTCTAGTTTCACTTGAACATGTTTCATACTTGTGAACATATTGTCCTTATATATATATATATATCACTAGTTACCATTACGATCCTATTATTTTAAAATAATCGTTGATGGCAAGTTAAAATTTATTCAATAAAATATAAAAATAAAAATAGTTGAAACAAAATTGTACTAATATTTATTATTTGAAATAAATCAGACTATTGATTTTAGTAAGAAAAATAATTTAAGCAATATAAGTAAATAAATAAATAAAACATGTTCAGCGCATTATTTTATGTTTAAAAATAGTAAAGCAGTAGAAAGAGCAGTCGTTTTTTTTTATGACAGGTTGAAAGAGCAACGTTGATAACGCGTAAAGGTATTTATTTATGAATTTTAATATTGATTTATTAAAATAATAATATAACAATAATACTCATTAAAAAATGGCAAAGTAGGAAATTTATTTCTAAATTTAATATTTATTGATTAAAAATAATATAAAAATAGTACCCATTAAAAAGGACAAAAGAAGAAATAAAAAATTTATCCCATTTAGACGCTTTTAATTTAGCATGAATATTTGGTCACATTTCTAAATATATATATATATATGTGTGGTAAAGATTAGATAAAAATTAGCCCTAATGTAATACTTTATTATTTTATAACTGAATAAAATTCTACTAAATAAGATCTTATCCCATCAGTTTCTATTACTTAAAAAAGCTAGTTGTTATAATACTGCCATGTATGAAATATTTTCTCATTATGGCTTGGGATTTCAATGCATTGCACATCACTATTTATAAGCGAACCAAGTGAGATTTTCCAAATGCAATATCTCAAGAAATGGAAGGGAGATATCCGAAGCACTTTCTGGTTTTCTTGTTCGTCTCCTCGTTGGCTATAGTTGAGCAAATCGAGGCTGTACCGCTTTCCAAATGGCAAATCCACGTTAGGAATGAGCTGAGCAACACTCAAATGCTCTTTGTACATTGCAAATCAAAAAACGACGATCTAGGTGAACACAACCTCAGCGTTGGGACTGAATTTAACTGGCGTTTCAGGGTAAATATTTGGGACACAACACTATATTGGTGCTACTTACAGAAGCCAAATGGACAATCTGTGTCGTTTGACGCATTTTGGGTTGAGAAGGATTCCATTTGGCTCTACTACAAATGTTTAGAGTCTAACTGCACTTGGAAGGCCAAAGATGATGGAATTTACCTGAGAAACAACCCGGATGGAAGAGATGTTTTCGTTCATAAGTGGCCATAACATCCGCCAAACAGCACAACAACAAAAGTGTTATATCAGCTGCATGTTCCACAGGCTTTTCTTTGTTTTTTTTCCAGCTAAATTTTCGTTTCTATTTGTATTTCTTCTATCCTAATGAAATTAATATAAATCTTATTTTTATTTCCAAATATTTGTACTTGTAGTTGTGTTGAAAGAAAATTACACTGTTATGGATATGAAATGTATGCATATTAGAAAAAAGAAAAAGTTAAATATATAATCGAAGAAAAAAGGAACACCAAAAATCTGGATAAATCATATATTCAAAAATATGGATAAAGAATACTCTTTTCCAAAAACAAAAAACCCTACTAATCTATAATTTAATTTTTATGCTTTATGTGTTTATGGTTAAATTTCTTAGTTGATCTATTATTTATAATTATTTTTGACATATGAAAAAAAATTACTTTTTTAATATTTTGATTTTTTGTTTAATATTTTAACAAAAAAAAAGGTTTAAAACAATTAATTTTAACTGATTTTAATTTGTTACAAATATACAAGCAAATTAATTAGTATCTTAAAAGGATTTGATATTTTAACTGTTAATTCTTGAAGTTTCAAATTTTCTTTTAGCCATTAATTTAGTGGATTATTAATGGTTTTCTACCATAAACTTATAATTGACCTTTTGAGCTATCAACTTAAGTTATATCGACGTTTTTTAGCCATTAATAATAACTATTATCGGTCAGCTATGACACTATCTATTTGTTAACAATAAATTATCATATATTTCATTCATGCCTTTTATCTTCTTAAAAAAGTACAACATGTGAGGTGGGGTCGAATTCACAACTTCTTAATTTTGAGATATATGTCAATTACGGTTGAGCTATACTCGCTTTAACCGATTCACGCCTTTATCTATTGACTATTTTATGTTTTATTATATGCACTACGAGAAAGATGAGTATTCTCAACTGTCACAATCCTTTAAAATGTATAAAATAATAAACCGTCTATAAATCATTTTCGAAGGTTAATTCAACCTTAAAAAAGAGTCGAAATAGGTCTTGATGAAAAACTTTTTCAAAAGTTCAATTAACCTTGAAAAGTTCATATTTTTCAATTGATCAATTAACCTTACAAAAATTAATAGTTTTCAAAAGATACAAATCTTTTGTAATTGTCAAATTAGTTGTTGATGATTAATTGGTGTCAAATAATTTTTTATGATGCAGCTCACGGTCAATGACTCTTTGTGCTGAACGTTTTTTATATCGAACCATCTTTTTCTTAGCACAATATGTGAGGGTGAGGTTCGAACTCACAACCTCTTAGTTGAAGATATGTGTCAATTATTACTCAGTTATGTTCACTTTGGCAATATTGACTCATCTTTCATTATAAGGATTATATAACAATTAGGGATTAGTACATTAATGTCTATTTAGAAATCATAATTACATAAAAAGATTGAAATGTTTAAAATTTACACTTTTGTCATGAAACAATCCTAATTAAGATGACACCCATCACACAAATTACTAGTATATCATTTTAAGCATGCACCTCAATATTAAATAATTTTTACAATCCACAACTGTTAAATTGGGAAGTTACAATTTAAATCCTAGATGTGCTTAATTATACTTTCCAAAATAAAAAAAAATACCAAAACTCCAAAAATCCTCAAAATAATCCATTTTTGAAACCCGTTCCTCCGACCGTCCGTTCTTCTTCTCCAGCGGTCTCTACCTGCCTTCCTCTCTGGCCGCCTTTAGTTTTCTTTGTCGCCAGAGCATTTCGTCTCCGTTTATCCCGTTCGAAAGGAGATTTCCGTCCGTTCTTCCTCTGTTTTCTGTCCGTTCTCTTTTTTTTTTTCCAGTCGTTTCTGCCTGCTTTCGTCTCCGACCAACGTCTGTCTACCTTCCTCTGATCCGACCGTGTTCGATTTTCTCCGTCGCTAGAGCAATACATCTCCGTTTATCCCGATCGAAAGGTTTGTATTCTAGTATATCCTAATAGTTTTCTCTTTTAGATTTGAACAATGTTGAAAACCTTTTTTTTTTTTTGTATTTTTAAACCCTTTTCAATGTTCCTTCTGTGCCAAGTAGTCTCCAATGGTTGTTTTAGATTTTTGATTTTGTGTGAACTATTGTATATATGAGGATATATATTATAGTGAGTTGATTAGGATATATTTTACAACTCAACTTGTATATATGTGGATATATACTGTGATGGCTTAAACATTTGAGATACTATCCTTTGTGATGGGAATACAATGGGATTTAGATTATATATGGATAGTTGTAAGATATCGAAGTTTATATGKGATTTAGATTATATATGGATAAATTTTATATCTCAAAAAGTTTAGTCATAATATTTCACAGCTATGTTATACCGAATCTATTTTATATTCAATATGTTATACTTACTACCATGTCTTATATAATTTCATGGATACAGTGATTGAAATTCAACTAGAATTGTTTGTTCGGGGAGGTTAGTGAAGACCTTACCTATTGAATAAGGGGAACGGTGGAAAATTCAAAAAGGGAAAAGAATGATTTAGATACTTTTGTAATTAATAATATTGGTAAATCAGGAGAATCAACTTTGAAGGAGTGAATTAAGGTGAATGGGTGGATTGAGAGGGTAGTGTTGAAAATTTGTATGGGCCCACAGTAATTAAAGGATTATGATAATAATTTATAGAATTAAATCTTTTATAGTTAAAAAAATCAAATAACTATAATAATGTAAATGCAATAACTAATGGTAAAATCGGTATTAAAATAAAATCCTACCTGCAGAAATAAAAAAAATGTAAAATTAGAAAATTTTAGACATTTTTATAAATAAGTTTCTAAAACAATGTGTACATACCTCTAGCAATTATCCATAATGTTATAATTTATTACTTATAACAAAACAAAATTCTACTGAAACAGACACCATTAATTTCTATTACTTAAAAAAAACGCCAATTATAATATTACCTCTTCATGGAATTTCTCCTTACTGGGTTTGGATATTCATGCACCGCCCATCACTATTTATAAGCCAACCAAGTGATTTTCCAAATGCAATAATGTCTCAAGCAATGGGAGTTAGATCTACGAAGAAGCACTTTTTGGTTTTCTTACTTGTCTTGTCATTGGTCATACTTGAGCCAATTGAGGCTTTTTCCGAGTTGAAAAAATGGCAGATCCACGTTGTGAATGGGCTCAGCAACGGCCAAACACTCTTTGTGCACTGCAAATCGAAGGACAACGATCTAGGTGAACACAACCTTAATAGCGGAACTGAATTCAACTGGACTTTTAGAGTGAACCTTTGGAACACGACGTTGTTTTGGTGTTACTTGCATAAACCAGATGGAAAATCTGCGTCATTTGATGTCTTTTGGGTTGAGAAGAAATCGATTTGGCTCTTTTACAGATGCTACCATTCCAACTGTATTTGGACCGCGAAAGATGATGGAATCTACTTGAGAGACAACCCAGTTCAAAGAGATATTTTAGTTCATGAGTGGAAATAATATACCAAAAAAAAAAAATAATTATAAGGTTCATTTTGATTGATAGTTATTCACCTACATGCACCACAATCCTTTTTTTTTTTTTTAACAGTCACGTCCATTTGTATTTCTTTCTTCTTTCCCAATAAAACTAATCGACACCCGTTTGATAACATTTACATTTTTTGTTTTTATTTTTTCATTTTTAATAAAAGAAAATAAAATTGCATGACCCCAACATTTAGGGATTCAAAAATAATAATAGAACAAGATTTTTATTCACGTTGGAACAAAATGGAAACATTAAATAAGAAAAAAAAAACATGTTTTTGTTGATTCTAAAACTTCTATAAAATTATAAGATTGTATCAAAAAAGATGTGAAACAATAAACATAAATAGTTTTGAAATACTTAGTTTTCTTAATAAAATTGAAAACAATAAATAATAAACGAGAACATTATCGAACGGACCATTAATATTTCTTTTCAATCATTTTCAAATATGCACATGCGCATAATTGTGAGTCATTGTGTGAAGAAATTAGATGGTCGTGGATGAAATGTGTGAATATAAAAAGATAGATTTACATAATTTGTCCCCATTGTTTATTTTTTCTTTTAATATTCCAATATTTAATCTGTCAAGGGTTATAATTTTCTTTCTTTTGAGGATCTAATTCTAATTTTATCTTTTCTGTTCACTGCTAAATTAGTTTAGCCTTTAATAAAAATAACAACGGGATGGTTAAAGCATAAATTATAGGTTTACAATATTGAAGTGAGATGAGGACAAATAAATCCATAAATTAAAGGGAAAATAGAAAATAGATAATAAATTAAAGAAAAAAACTATCTGATAAATTTTGAATTTCAAAATCTGGGGAAATAGATTTTTATTTATTTGTTTTTTCAAGGTGTAATTCTAACTCGATGCTAATGGTTGGATTCATATATCTTAACTTACTGAACTATGCTTCAGTCGGCTCAGGACAAATAAGTTAGAAAATGATTCTCAATTATCCTATCTTTTATGGTACCAGAATTTTATTTATTTATTTCAATTCAATTTCGAAGATGGAACGAGAACATAATGTAACAATATGAACAAGTAATGTGGAACGTCTCTCAACTTAGACCTCAAATGTTTCGGAGTCTTGAATCTCTGCTTCTTGTGAAGTGGATATGAAAATGAATTAGTCAGAAAATTGAACACGGAACTAAAAAGTCTCAGTAAACTCATTATCAACATGACATACCAAGTAAGGTAAAACAATGCTTAAAAATAATAGGCATGTGGAGCTTTAAGAATAAAGGATAGGTACCATAAATTATTGACAAAGGTTCAATTTTATAAATTTCAAATTTTATTAAAACTCAAAAATAAGCATGTCAGACATCAAAAGCTAACAAAAACAATGCACGCATGAACATATGAAAAAGACTGAAATATACCGAAGACAATAAACAAAGAAACTTCCCATAAGCTGACGGATCAACTTGATCTGGAGTTAAATGCGTCATTATTAACAGAAAAATTCAGCTACGTTGGACGAGAGGAAGGTGAAGCCTTTGGATCGAGCTAGCGTAGCATAGGTTTGTAGAGAGAAATTTAGAAATAAAAATTTTTAGAGTGAGAAATAAATTTTTTAGAGATAAATATGAGAAAGAAAAAGAAAAGTTGAGTATCAGATTTTGAAAAACAAAAACCTGCTTTTAAAACTACCATTTTTTTTTTAAAAAAATTTTACCTAGAATTTCGAAATGGTTTTTGAAAAAAAGAAACAGAAAATTGAATTCGTTATCAAACAACCCTATTTTTGAAAAACTAAAAATAAAAAACCAAAACAATAAAACGAAATGGTTATCAAACGAACCCTTCAAAATGAGTTTATGTTTTGATTTCTTATATTTTGAAAATTAGAGGCACCAGAAGGCTATACAAGGGTTTTCAAAATGTCGACATGCTCGACATCGACATAGTGGGGAAAAGTCGATTTTCCCCAAATGTCGTCGACATGTCGACTCAAATGTGGACATGTCTTTTTTTTTCCTCTTCTTCTTATTTTATTTTCATCATCTTCCTACTATATCACTACCGTCTATAATTCCTCACAACCTCGATGATTGTAATCTTAGTCTGTTCAATGAAATATTTGAATTTTAATACTGTATAAAGTATAACTAATAATAAGATTTGAAATTTGTTTTATTCATAATTTCTAATCCAATCTAGTCCTTAGTTACACAATTGAACAATATATGTTAGATATTGACATGCATAAAGATTGAAATAATTTTAGAATTTTTTATAAATAAATTATTATTATATACAAATAGTGGTGAAACATGAGGTAGAATAGGTAACTTAATTAATAATAAAAAGATGATCTCTGAGGATCTAGTACACTATCTTGATAACTTTGATATAAACTACACTAATTCTCACTGGTCATCCTAGACTGAAAGTTTTGAAGGTAATTGCTCAAATGAGTAGAATATGGAGCACATATGGATACCATGGGTAGATAATTTAGATGAATGACACAATCACGAGGTTGGGGTCTTTGAAAATTGTGTAAATTTGATTGGAAAGTTGGATTGATGATTGATTTGAAAATGTGTTTGAAAAATGTGTAAATTCAAATTTGAAAAGAGTAGGTAAAAAGTAAACAGGTACGAGTTAATTAGAATTTAGAAATGTGTTTGGAAACCAAGTCGGTAAAATTATGTCATTTCCAAATGAATCCTATTATGAAAAACACTAAAGAAGTAGTCAAAAGTCTACGATTAAAGTTTACTTTACATATTCAAATAATTACCATCAATCTTCATTAAAGGAAAAAATCTTCTTTCGATATTTCCATCGACATCGACATTTTCATGAGTAAAATGGTYATATTCTTAAATTAATGGTTAAAGGTGATCAATTATAGGCTAATTAAGCTACCATTCAAGTTTTATTTGCTAATTCAAAAAATTTCCATCAATTTCCACAATTTCTATTATTTTTCTTGAAATATCTATCAATATCGACATGTCCGTAAAATCGGGACCTCGATATTTTTATCGACATCGAYATTTTAAACACTGGGTTGTACTAAAAAAAATTTTAAAATTTGTGGTTTTCATATTTCCCTCGATGGATAATCAATTGTCCATCTGGCCTCAAATATAACCAAGCGGTTTTAAGTTCTTTAACTAAAGTTTCTTTATTTCAAAAACAATAACCATGAACAAATAATTGTAATTAAATTTTTAAGCAATGTGTAGAAGGATTACCTTGTTTTGAGAGAGAAAAAAAAATTCCTCCTTCAAAAAGGCAATTTGTTATTAAATTTAATGCGAAATGTGCGTTATTTTTGCTCCAAGGGCATTTAGTCTTTCATACATTTACTAACAAAATTTTGTTATTGGAAACTAATTAAAATTTTTGCCTTGTTCACCTCGTTTTCATTTTCCAATTAAAGTATGTGTATAATTGTGCTTCATATATACTTTGTATTTGTGTTTCCCTGACGTATTTATTTGCCAACCATAACTCAACCAGTTAAAATATCTACCTTCGACCAAAAAAGTCGTGAGTTCATTTTTTTACCCCAAACATGTTCTAGTTTAAAAAAAATATTTATATTAATTTATCCTTAAAAAGGCTCCTTATAATATTGCCTTCCATGGAATTTATCCTTGTAGGCTTGGATGTTCATGCACTGCCCATCCCTATTTATAAGCCAACTAAGTAATTTTCTTCTTGCTTATCTTCTCATTGGGCAATATATCTCCAAGCAATGAAAAAGCACTTTTTGGTTTTCTTTCTCGTCTTCTCACTGGTCATAGTTGAACCAGCGGAAGCTTTTTCCTCTATGCAAAGATGGCACGTCCACGTTGTAAATGGGCTAACCAACGCCCAAACTCTCTTAGTTCACTGCAAATCGAAGGACAACGATTTAGGTGAACATTACCTCAATGGTGGAACTGAATACAACTGGACTTTTAGAGTGAACTTTTGGGACACGACATTGTTCTGGTGTTACTTGCAAAAACCCGATGGAAAATCTTCGTCATTTGAAGCCTTTTGGGTCGAGAAGTCAACGATTTGGCTCGTTTACAAATGTTCAGGTAACAACTGTATTTGGATAGCAAAAGATGATGGAATTTATCTAAAGGACAACGAAGCTCAAAAGGATATTTTACTTCACGAGTGGAAATGACATAGCTGAAAATAAAAAGTTAATTGTAAGGTTGATTTTGATTTAATAGTTATTTAGCTTCATCTCCCACATGCCTCTTTCTTTTTTATAGAGCCACATTCCATTTGTATTTCTGTTTCTTCTTGCTCGATGAAAGTAATCCAATATATCTTTTTTATTTTCAAATATCCACGGTACATCAAGGTATTAAATATCTGTTCTGACATATCAACATTTTCATCAACAATTCCACGTGTTAACGGATTATATCTAATATTCATGGGATTTTATTTCGAAATCAATTGGCGTAATGAGAAGAATAGTCCATGGCTATTATAAACTCATGTTAGATTCTTTATTTTTTAAGCGTGGATCCTTAACCAATATTAAATCCATTAAAACGGAGTATTTCAGAGATATTTTCTTATCTTCGTACCCTAGTACTAATGAAATTGAAAAAGTCATGGATTTTATTCAGCCTCTTGTTAGCAAAGTGCAGAACGCGAGTCTGACCAAGTATTTTACGAGGGAAGAAATTGAAATTGCTTTGAAGAATATGCACCTTTATAAAGCCCCAGGCCCTGATTCGGTTCATGTGTTATGTTCTATCAGAAGTACTGGGACATAGTTGGGGAAAGACGTATATTTTGGTCCAATCAACCAAACCCACATAGTTCTGATTCTGAAAAAGAAAAAGACCCCTAATGACATGAAAGATTTTTGCCCCATCAATTTGTGTAATGTAATTTAAAGTTAATTGCCATGATGGTGGCCACAAATAAAATGAAAAACGATTCTTGATAGTGTAATCTCGCCTCCGCAATCGGCTTTTGTCCCATAATGCAATGATAGACTTTGAATGTATACATTGCTATTAATAATAAAAGATGTGGCAAAGTTGGAGAGGTAATCGAGAAACTCGATATGAGTAAAGCGTATGAGAAGGTGGACTAGATTTACTTTGAGAAGAATAATGGAGAAACTTAGGTTTTGCTATCCGCTGGATATATCTTATTATGCAAGTGTGGAATCAGTTCATTTTTTGGCCTTCATCAATGGAATTCCTACTCCCGGGTTTCATTCATATAGAGGTTTGAGACAAAGAGACTCGCTCTCTCCTTATCTTTACATTCTTTGTGCGGAGGGTCCTCAATAAAGAAGAGAAGAACGGTCCTTGATAGGTTTGCAAATCAATAAGCACTGTCCTTCTATCACCCATTTGTTTTATGCAAATGACAGCCTCTTGTTCTTTAAAGCTATATCAGGAAATTGGACGACCATCCAAATAACCTTACAAATATATGTACGAAAAGGCTTTAAGCCAATGTATTGATGTCAAGAACTCAATGTTTATGGTAAGCAAGAATATAGAGGAGTACATGGTGACACAAATCCAATATAAATTAACGATCACCCACACCCAATCACTGGGCTAATATCTTGAGACCTCCTTTCTCAAATGGTGTGCAATAAGAATCAGGTGTTCTCGAATATCAAAGATAGAGTCTGGAGGGTCCTCCAAGGCCGGAAGGAAAAGCTATTCTCTGTGGGCACAAAGAAAGTGTTAATTAAAGCTATGGTATAGGTCATTCCTATTTACACTATGAGTTGTTTAGACTTCCATTAAATCTTTGAACTTTTATCAATTCTTTATGTTCCAGATTATGGGGGTAGTCGCAGGAAACGAAAGAAATACTCACTGGAAAAGTTAGAAACGGGGGCTTTTTAACAAAGATCAAGGAGGAATGAGTTTTAAGGACCTTTTTATTTGGAGTCAGGCCATGCTTACTAAACAGAGTAGGAGACTCCTTRAGAACCCAACTAGTCTAGTGGCCAGCTGTGTTCTTATGGGTCGCTACATTCAGAGTGGAAATTAAATTTCTTTAAAAGCTAAATTTATGTGGAGATATATTTTGTGGGGTAGGAATCTTTTCAAGTAAGGTTATGGTTGAAGAATGGAGATATAAATGTTCACGTTTCTTATCATTCACAGAGTTTTGATCCCCACCTCTACATGTTATACTAAAAAAAAAATTAGATAACCTTCACGTTTCTTATTTCTTGTTTATGGTTTTAAGTTTTTTGGAAACATAAGAATTTGATAACTATTTTTCCTTTCCCATTTCTCATTTTTAAGAAATGTTTCAAAAATTGTGTACAAATTTTGGAACAAACAAAATCGAGTTTCTTGTTCCTATTCTTTYTTTCTAAATATTAATAAAAGTATTATTTCACGATTTTAACTTATAAAATGCACAATAAATAATACAAAATAAATATAACATAAAAATGGAATATTTAATTAAAAATTTAACTTTTTAAAATTTAAAATGTCAGAGTATAAGTTGCTAAAGAAGTAAAATAAAGAATTTCAGAGTATAAGAAAAATATGACAAACATAGTAGATGAAGAAAGAACAAGAAATGATAAAGAATTACTCAAAGAAATTATATTTTTCTTTATTAAAAAGGAAAAAACGAGAATAAGAAAAAAGAAACGAGAAATTAAGAAACATAAAAGCAACAACGTTACCAAACAGATAAAATTAAGAACGAATCTAGAAATATTTGTCATAAACAATTACATCATATTTTTTCTATTAAAACGAGTTTCTTTCTTCTTGTTTGTATCTTTTTCAAAATATAAATAAAAGTATTATTTCATCATTTTAACTTACAAAATGCACAATAGATAATAAAAAATAAATATAACATAAAAATTGAATATTTAATTAAAAATTGACTTTTTAAAATTTCAAATTTCATACTATAAGGGAAAAAACATGACAAACATAGTAAATGAAGAAAGAACAAGAAATAATAAAGAATTACTAAATGTTATTATATTTTCCTTTTTTAAAAAGAAAAAAAACGAGAATATAAAAAAGAAATAAGAAATACAAACTAAGAACCTTACCAAACAAATTCTTAATTTTTTCAAGTTACAACTAACCCAGAAATATTTGTCATAAACAGTTACTAACGTATTTTTTCTATTCAAAGAATTTCCATTTCGTGATTGGAAAGTTAATAACCTCTGTTAATTGACTAGTTAATGCAATACCATATAATTTACCAATTAACAAAAATGCTTTTTTATAAAAATCAAATTTAGGTAAGTGTTTAAATTCTCATAACACACCAAACTGTTCCCTTTTCTTACATGGGCAAAGTGTATATTTATCCATTACAACAAAAGATTGAGAAACAAGTTTTGGTTAAGAGACCATGGGTGCAAATGTGGTTTTGTTAGCTGTGTTGGCAGCTCTAACGGTGGCTCAGCCATTCGTGGAGGCGTTGGCGCCTACACCGTATGTTGACAAGTGGCACGTTCATGTGGTTAATGGGTTGAGCAATGCGACGTTGTTTGCACACTGCAAATCTAGAGATACCGATTTGGGAGAACATAACTTAAATCGTGGAGCTGAGATTCAATGGAGCTTTAAGGAAAACGTCTGGGGAACAACATTATTTTGGTGCTTCTTGAAAAAGCCGGGTGGCAGTGCCTCATTTGACGTCTTCTGGCGTGAGGTTGACCATCTTTGGCTCCATTACAGGTGCACCAATGATGGAACTTGTATTTGGACTGCCAAAGATGATGGGATTTACATAAGAAACATTCCTGATAATCTTGATGAACTGGTTCATAAGTGGACCAGTTCTTGATCGTATGGTTGATCACTGTTAAGGAACAAAGGGATCCCTCCACCATTTACACAATAGTATGAAATATGATATTGTCTAATTTGGCCATAATCTCTTATGGTTTATTTTTTTGTTTCACCTTAAAATGTCTCGTGTTCTAATGAGATTATGTTCTTGATCGCTTACATGGTCTTCCATTTATCTAGTCAAATATGAACTTTAATTACATCACGAACTATCATATTACCTTTTTTATTGTCTTCTTGTAACCAAAAAAAAGAAGAGGTATTTGATAATATATATTTTTTTAACAATTGAAATGAGAATCTATTTCTTAAAAACGATGTCCTAAAATTATAATGTCTTTTTTTTTTCAAAGAAATCCTAAATTATAATGTTGTTTTTTAACTTTATTTTTTGTTCATATTTATATGCATTTTATAAGTAAAATATGATAGAAAAAAGAAAAACTGTATTAATGCGTTTTTTTTCTTTATTTTTGAAAAGATATGCGTTTTTTGTAAAACTAGAAAGAGCCAAAAAGAAAATATGATTTTGAATAATTTTTCTTTTCGAAAATTTGATAGTTTTTATCATAAACTTAATCAACTTAATAAGTTATTATATCAACTTGTTAGGAAATTGATTAAACTAATAATTTTCCCTCCCACAGAAAATATCCCACACAACCACAAATATGCAAATATGAAGAAAAAAAGAACAAGAATACGACACAACAAATTACACTGATTCACCACTAAAGAGGCTACGTCCAGTCTTCCACTCAGATGTGGGTAATTCACTAGATAGTTTAGGATTGAATACAATATCTCTTCCCAAAATATCTCCTAGAGGTCTCGACAAAAGCCCTCTAACTTCTAAGTATTTGACACAGTTAATACTTAGGAATATGAATAAAAACTCACAATAATCAAGATTTAATTACCCCGAATATGTTGATCTTGATGAGCCTCAATGCCTCTGCCAATGTCCGAGCCTCTCCCTTGAAACTGCCACAAAACCCTCTGAAAAACGGCTCAAAGACGGTGGGACAAAACCCCTTTTTCGGCTAAGAAACTCTAAACCCGAAACTGCACTTATATAGACATCGAAACAGCGCCATGGTGCTACAGACGGACAACCGACCGCGCCTCCCCCGTCTGGACAGCGCTATGGCGCTGCCTCCTCGGCCCGAGCGGCCTGCAACTCGCTTCTCCCCTATTTTCATCCTGCTTCGATCCCGATGCGTCCCAGCTTGATCCCGACTCTTTCCTAGCTCGATCCTACGTCGTTTTGACTCCACAATCCCAAAACAATTTTCATTCTATACTTTCCATTTCATCGATAAACTTAGATAAGTTAAAATTTTATCCTCTATTAAATTTCTCACACATTCACTTACTAATTTTAACAAATAATAATGATGATAAATGAAAAAAAAACTCTAAAAATCTCGTTATTTTAATGAATATAAAATTTGGCATAAAATTAAGTTTATTTATTGCATGAAATAGACCCTTAAATAGTTAAAACTTACAAATTTCAACAAAAGAAAAACTCTGTTTTGTTGAATCTTATCAATTTCATACCAAATATATATTTTATAATTTATTAGATGCACATTATAATAAAATTTTCAACAATTTTTTAAAACAAAATCCTATTAAAACGTAAAAGTTTGCAAAACTTTTTATGGTTGAAGTAAATATTGCAGTTTAATCTAAGTTTAAGGTTAAAATTGACGCACGTTAGCCAACTTAAGTTTAAATTGATTGTGTCTTTTTTTTTTCCTTCTTTACGTGAGGAAGAAAATCTAATTAAAAATTGCTTTCATATATTGAATAAATATAAAATTACAAAAACCACTCCTAAATTATATTGTGATTCCACCTCCTATTTCTAATTGCAACCATTACACTTTTAAATTTATGAAAATGTTGGTCATTGAACTGAACTAGCACAGATGGTAACATAGGGTATGGTTTGATTGGAACAACTTTAAAATTTTGTGGATTAGTTATTCAAGTAAAAAATTAAGGGTCCAATCTTATATAAATGGTTGTTACAATTTCCCTAAAACTTTTAATGATAATGTATAAAATTAGTATAGATAATACTTTTCAAAACCAAAGTTTCAAAAATACTATCAATTGCTCTCCATAGCTTTTATGAAAATAACATAAGCCAAAACCAATGTTCGTATGATTTGATTACTTGATGTGTTATTAACTAGTTGTGTAACAAAAGTCTGTCAAAATCAAACTCTCGGGTCAAAGCAAGTTGGTTGGAAAGAGCTTAGGCGTCGCTTGACGGGAAAGAACCGAAACAAACACTCCGACGTTAAAATCATTTTAAATTCAACCTTAGTAATTTGTAGGCCTCTTTTCATGCTATATGAACTTCACTATTACAATATTTTGCCTAGACCGTATGGTTTTTCAACGATAGTATATGTGCATTATAGTCTATAATACTATATATTGCAGCTGACGTTAGTCATACTCTATAGACTACGACTATAGCACGGTCGATGTCAACCATGGTCTATATTATAATGATCTCTTTTCTTTTTTTTTCTTTTTTTTTTGAAAAAAAACGTAATGGCATATACAATAGACCGCATTGTGGTCTATAACGCTATATAACTGTAGCCTATACGATATGCAACAGTGGTGAAATATTAATAATTTTTTAACTTATTTAATAAATGTAATATATTTTTTTGTTAATCTAAATATTTGTTATAATTTTTTTTATAATTTTTTAGAAATATTAATCAACATCGACATTTTATTGATATTTCCATCGAGCTGATATCCATAAAATTTAGACCTGGACAATTTTTTTCTCTATTGACATGATTATTATTATTATTATTATTATTATTATTATTATTCTCTCTAATATTATTTCCATGATATTGTGTGTAAAACAATCATTATAGATTTCCGTACAATGACATTACAAATCATCAAAAAGAAAAATAAAAGATCAAACATCAAAACCACAATCATTGTTGAATTTCATAAACAACTAGATGGTTTAATTTTGATTCCACAATCCTTTTATATGCTTCAAATTGGTTTTATAATTTACGTTTTGACTTATTATTATTATTATTATTATTATTATTATTATTATTATTATTATTTTCTATAACTTTTATTTTTATTTATTTAAATGTTGAGCATTGTGATCAAGTCTCATTATTATTACTAGAATATTAATTAATTTGTTAGATTTCTCCCTCTTTTTTTCCTTTTTTCTCTCCTATCCTCTCTCTCCCAAAAATTTCTAATTGCCTCTCCTATTTTTTCTCTCTCCCACACTTTTTTCCCTCATTCTCATCCATATCATTATGGTCAATTAAATTTCTTGCATTGAAAGTTCCCGTACATATAATGTATAGGCATCCATGTATTATTTATAGGCCAAAAAGAATCCTCCAAACTAACTCACTAACCTGCACAATGGGTGCCATCACTTTGAAGAACCATCTTCTGGTCTTCCTGCTCATCTCGCTCCTGGCCGTGGCTCGCTCGAAGCCACTGAGCTATTGGGAGATCCACATCAAGAACGCGCTGAAACATGGGCAACGACTGTTCGTGCACTGCAAGTCAAAAGACAACGACTTGGGTGCACGAACCCTCGAGAGCGGGACCGAGTTCAAATGGGATTTCAAAGTGAACATTTGGGACACAACGTTGTTCTGGTGCTACTTGCGCAAGGATAAACAGAGGGATGAGTGTAGATTCGATGCGTTTTGGGTCGAGAAGAAGACCGAGTGGCTGCGCATCAAATGCAAGGAGCATAGGTGCTTTTGGACTGCAGAAGACCAAGGGATTTACCTCTTAGATGGTAGTCGGAATGTTGATGAGTACCTACATCCCTGGAAAATGATACCATATCCGTTGAACAAATATGGTTCATAATTTCCTCACTGCTCTCAAGCGATTGATTTATGCAATAAATTGAGATGTGTTCTTTTATTTAAATCCAATTGTGTTTTCCTTTTTCTCTGGTGTTTTGTTTATTTCTATACACATTAGTTAAAAAATATATACAATATATTTAGTTATTCAAGGTATAAGTAAAACATGAATGTTAGTTAAATTATAAATTTTGTCTCACACTAAACTCGATATGTTATTTCTAGTTGGTACTTGATCTTTTTTTGTTAAAAAAAAAAAATTCCTTAATTAAACTTTGAGAATTTTACTTCCTTCTAGTTACTATAATCATTATCATCACATACCCAAATGATACGTGCAAATTTAGAATTATTATGGCTAAGTAGATCGATTAATGAGGATGTCGTGTAAAAATTTATTTAATGGTGTTAGATTATGTATGGGCTAAATAAAAGCATATAATTTGAAATATAATTCAAGTACTTTAAATAATTGATTCTTTTTTAAATATATATATATATATATATATATATATCGATAAATAGATTAAATAGATGCACAATAATTCAAACTTCCCACCAGAAGTGGATGTAGAATTTTATTTTATTTTTATTTTTTGTAAAGAGGATACAAATTCATTTAAATATAACAGAAATAAATCAATTTAACCTCGAACCTGATAAAAGTGTATCGCTTTAAACTTTTAATTTCATCAAATTTTACCTTTAACTTGGATAACTGTTACAAAGTTATTTAATTGTCGATTTTGTGCATTAATCAAATTTAATTTGTGTAAAGCTTTGATTTCTTTAAATTAATGAAACGTTGGAGTTTTTTACATTATTTTTTGTTTTATATTAATAGGAGTAAAATTTAATATAATAGGGGTAAAATTTGTCCCATTTATCTCAGATTAGTGTTCAATTGGATGAAATTAAAAGTTTAGAGTAAAAATTAATACAACTTAACAAGTTTTGGAGTGAAAGATGAGTTTTACCAATTATAGTTTTAGACGCATTTATTATACAATATTAAGCTTGGGCAGTTACAAATATGACAAAAATATTTAGTAAAATTAGCAAAATATAATAGTAACCATATTTCATTTTTTTCAAATATAGCACTTTTAAAAAAATGGAGATCCAATTTTAAAATGACAAGTTTACCCACATGATATACATCTTGTAATATATGTGCTTCAACGAAGCCTGGTTCAACCTTTGGCCTACACTACCGTAAAACGAGTGAGAGATGTATATCAAGGGAAGAAGGAACCAAGAATACTACAAATGCATGGGAAAGACTATCAATACTCATAGGGTCCCATCTAAAAGAACGAGCTTTTGGGCTCTAATACCATATATATTAATATTCATGACTTCCATCTCAAAATTAATTGGCAATGAGAGGAATGACTTAATTAATATTATAACCTTTGTTTGGTCCTTTGTCTTTTCAATGTGGGATCTTTAAAATGTCCCCTTAGATGGTACCTCTTTTGGGTTCATCAATCTTGGTCGGATCCCATTTTTGGATCAGATGATCGTTTGAACTTTTTGGGCTCTAATGTGGTCATATCAATATTAATAGGGGCAACTAGAGAAATGGCTATATTAAATAGTTTGATTTGAAAAATGGCCAAAATAATCAAATATCACGAAAATGGCTAAAAGGCAGTTAGAGTTGAACTACGAGATTTTATGTGGACAAATTTACCCTCCAATCAAAATAGGTAAATTTATCTTGACACTACCCCTATAAAATTGTGACGAAAATACCCATCATCAAAATCTTTAGTACACCTAATTTCTAGGAAACAAGATAGTAAATCAAAATTATACCTTTCAAAAATTTTAAATAACATCTAGATTTAGAAATTTAAAAAATGTAAGATAAAATTTGTTGAATGCATACTTTGAAATAAAAAAAAAAATTGAATCAAAGTGTATAACAGACTAAAAAAACGTAAAATCAAATTAGAAAAATGGAAAAATAAAAGATTGATACCATGTTAGGATCCATTATGGAAGGGAAGGCAACTCAAATGACTCATTCCCACTTTTGCCCTTAACTCCTTCTTCCCACACTTGCCTTAACTCTTCCTTCCTAAAAATAAATAAAATTTGATTCAATCAAGTCTTAAACCCCTCAAGCCTCGTGCGCCTCAAGTTTTTGGTGTCCCTCTTCGGTGTACACAATTTTCGGCATCCCTCTTCCCACTCTTGCCAGAACCTAAAGAACCTCCTTCGGATAAGCTTTCGGTGTCCCTCTTGGGGTACACAATC